CCCTAATGGAAATGTAAACTATTTTGCAATTGGGCTTAGTTGTAGGCCAGTTAAAATGGCTACTGTTTTCATAATGAAAAGATAATGTCTCAAACAATCATCTTCTGTGTTTATATCCTTTTTAAAAAGTGTATAATTAGCCGGGCTCGGTGGCTCAGCCTGTAATCCCGCGCCTTTGGGAGGCTGAGGTGAGTGGATTGCCTGAGCCTGTGGGTTTGGGACCCGTCTGGGCAGCGAGACCTTATCTCTACAATAAATCAAAAGATCAGCTGGGCGTGGTAGCGCGCGCGTGTAATTCCAGCTACTTGGAAGGCTGAGATGGAAGGATCGCCGGAGCCCAGCAGGTCGAGGCTGCGGTGGCCGGGAGCAGCCACTGCACTCCTGTCTGGGCAATGGAGTGAGACTCCAACTCTGACTCATGATTGACATTTGTAGATACCAAAAACCCACTTTTCTGTATACTTCCTAACAATGACTCTCATATGTTTCAATGTGGGCTTAGTGTCAGTAGGGCTTCTAAAAAAAATATTTTAGCAGTTAAAAAGTAATTTACCTCAAGTCTGTTGAATAATTAAGGGAAACCTAGAATTAAGGGAGAATAGGAATTCTTCCGTGAAGAAGACAACAATCCAACTAATAATCCAGATAATTCCATAATCACTATCAAGGTGATTTATAATTAAGCCAATTACTTTCTGCATTTCCCAATAAAACCACAATGTCAGCATGATGATACCTTTACTCTTTCAGGTACCTAAAAGCTTCTGCTACTTTCTACACTCAAGTACAATGCTTCTGATACTCGCAAGCATTCCGCTCCCCTTTCCCAGGATCGGTAGTAATGTCTGATGTCCATCAAGTTGATCAAAGAAATGGTCATGCTGGGGCTGCATTATCACTTACTAGAGAAGTACTTTTTCCAAGTGTCCCTGCTGGACAAGAGTGCTCAAGCACCTCCTACAGGTGTTGGTACTCACAGTATTTGAACTTGAGTTCCACTTGGTTACAGACAGGATCATTTCCAAAGGGCAAAATCTGAAGACCTCTGGTTTCATGGAAGTGAGTCTATTTACTTCTGAAACATCTCATCATCTGCTAATTCATTGGAAATTTCAGGAAATATGGTTTCATGCAAATGTAGGTTTTACTGTTACACATCACACTTTCAAACTTAGGTCTCTAGATGTGGAAAAAATTAGTGTACGTGGTATGCACAAAGAAGTGAAGTGAATATTTTTTTCCTGCATGATCTATTCTAGATCCTGTCCCAAAAAGATTGTTGTGGTGAAATGTATTTATTCACATTGGGATGAAATTCGGGATATAACTTTGCTAATTTTATTTTCCCAAAGAAAATTTTATTAAAATAGATAAAGGCTTTGTTTCAAAGAGAAATAGAACTAATGCATTTTGCCCAGATTTGAGCATTTCATTAAGAACTTAATGTTTAAAGTGGCATTTTCAAGATATGGTAATACTGCCAGAGGAATATCTGATAGGACAATGGAAGTACACCATGATAAGTCAACAGAAAACAAGACAAATCACCCAAGTAAGAAAAGAAGCTCTTCTGTTGATACAGAATCAACATTTACTATGGTTTCAGAGCCAGGTCATTTTGAATGGACATAGCTCGTGTTTTTATCTGAACTGAGATTTTGAAAATGTATGTTTTGACAAGATCTGAACTGGGTCTCTATGGAATTTATAGATGGAATTCAATTGGCAACTCTGACTCATGACTTTGTTTATACACTTGTGCTTCAGCACATCAGAAAAGCTATTTTTCCCCTATAGTTTCTAAGAATATCTCTCAATTACAGAGTCTAAGTCTGAATCATTTCTGTTTCCCTTTTCCAGCTTACATCCATCTTCCTTCTTGTATATATGCCCATTATGACAACTTTCAGAACCCATCAGGGATATGGAATAGACATGCAACATTTTACTGACTTGAAAGTATACAGGAACAATTCTTTGTGTGTGTGTGTGTGTGTGTAAATAAATTTATTGTAAGGATTTGTTTTTTTTTACAATTCTTTCCAATGAGAAAAAATATGCATATGCATTTCTTTTTCCCTTGTTAATGCACAGCAACAAGGAAAACAGAGAGATATACTAATATACTTATGAAATTTACTGACGTTTAATAAGACTTGTAAAATAGTCATTCCCTTTACCTTAATGGCTCTCATTTGGCTCTTGAATTTATTCTAGTGGTCAAATGTTGCCCTTCTATTTTTAAAATAATTATTCAATTATTATAATTGTCAACATCATTAGCATCATTATTATCATCATGATGCTTATTGTTATCATAGCCAATTTGCTTTTTGGCATTTACAAAGAGCCTATCACTATTTAAGATGCAATCATATTTCCTAATCATCCATTTCTGCCTTTTAATATAAAATTTCTCATTGATACATTGCTAGTCAACTATGGTAAACACCATAGTGTTTTTCTTAGCCTCCTCAGTGTTACCAGTTCCTTATTATCTCTCTCTTTGATTTATTTCTCCTCACCTCAACTAAAATAATCTTTGATTGCCACTATGACTATTAGCTGGTCTGTCAACAGTTTTTACCTTCACGCATTTTACAACTAATTGGAAGCACTAATCTTCATAATTGATCTGCATTTTCTTCTTTGTCTTGGTCCTTATTTCCTCATCCTAGGGAAAAAGATGATTTCTTTTCTCTCTACCAATACTTTATGTGTATGAATAAAATAAAGCACTTCTCTGCCCTCTCAGATGTGACGTGGAGGGGGGATTGATAAAACATACATATATAAAAGGATCGTATTAGACATGTGCAATTCCATAGGATCACAAGGAGAGAGGAATTACTTTAGTCTAAACTAATGGAGAATGTTTTACATACAGGAAAAGCCAAGCTTCCCAGAATGAAGAGAACTTTGGGGGATACCAAGTAATTGATCTGATGCAAATGATCTATGTAAATAAAGTTTAAGAAGAAACAGCAGTATCCACTGAAGTGGAGCGTTAAGGGAAGAGGGAGATAAAATTCAATGAAGTACATTAAAGTTAGAATCTTAATGATTTCCACCCCATTAAAAAAAATTAATTCATTGAAAATATTCTATACTTAGACTTTTAAGTAGTAGATAGATCGCGAAAACATGGCCATGCTTGGCTAAACCTGCCATTCTCCTCATTTATTTATCTTTTGAAACCATGATAAATGTCATTTCCAAAGGGTGACATCCCTAGAAGAACCACAAAAACTGTGTGTGGAAATGATGTCTCATTCTGTGTCACTTAAAATAGCAATGGCAACATGGTTATTTGTTTTATTACCCCGTGCATTTCCCTGCCCTTTTGAAAAACTATTTCTAGAAAGAAATGAGTAATGACTATTATTAAACAATTTGCTCATTAACTTGAAACAATTTTTCATCTCTGGACCCTCTTTATAAAGCTTTTCATGAATAGCTTAATAGGAGATTATCTCTCCATCCGTTGAAGTTGTGTAGTAATTCATCTATACTTCCTAATAGTACTTCCCTACTTCTATCTAATATTATAAGTAATCATGTAACATCCTCTCTTTCTCTCCACTAAAATTTTTTATGGGAGCACCCAAGCCTGTTTTATCTCTCAGCTTTCCAGCACCCAGCAGTTAGCGTTTTGCAAATAGTCCAGACTCAAAAGTTGTTGAATGGCTAAATGAATATATATATGAATAAGTAATCCCATTGAAAGCTTGTCCTCAGTTTGTTACTCATAAGATTATATTTCAAATATCGACTTCCCAAACAACGACCACACAATCAATAGAAAATGGGATGACCATAAACATTTTTGCAGAAGAATCGAGCTCTCAACTTAGTTCAGTTGTTTCTTTTGGAAATATTCTAAAAATCAAAAACACTTCTTTGCTAAAATTCTGACATATCTTTGTATAAAATATGCCCATAGCTGAGTATATTCAGAGGTGTAGCATTTAATGAAGAAATTAATTTAGAATTTAGTTTTCATGCTTATATTTGCCCATAATAAAAATCAATTAAAACCAAAAAAAGATGCAATTATATTGCTAATAAGCAAAATTAAAGTAATGCATGGATCACTACATAATATCTAGAACATGATAGATTTCTTCTTTTATAAAATATTACAAGCACTTCACAATTCATTATGTTAAATTTCATCACAAGATAAGAGACAATTGTCATTTACAATATGTATTTAAAAACTAAAGCATAAAAATAATTCAATTGTTAATAACTGGTTCTTTCTTATTGCAGTTTTTTCTGATTCAGAATAAAAATGAACCAAATAGATTTTTAAAAAGCATTTCTGCAGACTATTAACTATATTTTTGTAATGTTAAATAAACAAAACTACAAAACTCTTCAGCTTGCTTCTAATTAAACAAAGACAGTATCCACCATCTTTGACATGTGCACTTCACAGTTCTATGATCTTGTTTGTTAATTTCAAATAAATAATGTCAAATATACAATGAAAATGCTTAAACAAGAAGGAACCAAATTTCTGATGTATTAAATTAGAGCATCTTCTGACAAAGTTTAAAAATGAAAGAGACCTAAAAGTGTGTAAAATAACATGTTCTATATTGAAACTTAAATTCCACTTTGATGTAGATATTATAATCAAAACAAAATCTTTTGGTGTAACAACTGAATTTTACATGTACCCTGGTAAATGTTCATGCAAGTCAAGTCCATCATGGGCTCTTATATTCACTTTCAGTCACACTCCCACTTAAGAAAAAATAGGGACTGTGGCAATAATCTCTGACGTAAGAAAAGTTTTCAAATGTGGCAAGCGACTAGTAAAATTTAAAATATTTAAATCAGTGACTAATTCAAAATAATACTAAAATGAAATGAATATTCTACTTTTCATTTCCATTTTATAATAAAGAGTCATGAAAATGTTTTTTAGAGTAAACTATTCAAACATCTGGAAGATTTCTCAAAGGCTTAACATAAGTTTAAGTAGAACCTACCTTTAAAATTTGGCCTGATTCTTGCATCGTATCCTGATGTCCTTCCCATTAATTTGTCCAAGAAATCTGAAGGCGATAGGGTCTGTGAAGGTTGTTTTCCTGACCTGGAGTCATGGTCCTTGCAGAAAGTCGTCCTAAACACATCATCAACTCGTTTAGCAACAATTTCATTTTCATGCCTTGAGAAGTAATGCTCACAGAATGTTTATCATCACATTTTGGTAAAGATATTTGATATATTAGTAAGAAGAAAAATAGAAAAACACAAAGTTTTTGGTCAACTTCTGAACTTGAACTTGGTCTAAAGTTAACTTTAAATGATGAGATGTATAAATTCTTAGTCAAATCTCCTACGTTTTCAAATTTCAACTATAAAATGTCTGAGATAAGACAATGCACATAGTTAGGTTGTATGTAGAGTTTATGGATATATAATTAAAGCTATTTCTTTCTAAAAGAATCAAAGAAGTAGACGATAATTTTAAAAATGAATACGATTGTTTAAAAATCATTTCCCCATGACTTAAAAAAAATAGTTCCAGCATTTTAGCTCTAAATGTAAGTCCTTTTTAAAATAACAAGTATAGAATAAGATGGGCCGATCAAAGTAAACAGTTGCCACTGATTATTCCATTGCTTATTTTCTCACCTGTTAGATCAGCAATCAACCATTAGCATTTTTCAACATGATTCCTAAAAGAGAATCTTCACTTGGAAATTTAACTTCATTTTTAAATAGGTCAACAGTGAACATGTCTGTTACTTTTATAATTTTATCAGTTATTTATGTATAAGAATTTAAATTGTTGACTCTCCAATAAAGTATTTATGAAAAAACACTTCTGAATCATTTTGTCTTTTGCATTATCAAAAAGATCAAAAGTTTATTGAAATATTTCTCCAATTTTTATCTTCCTGTTAAAAGTGATAAAGAACTTACAAAAAAGAGCATATTTGGTTTGTAGCAAAGTAAATTGTTTCAGAATACATAGTGGTTAACTGAATGCTGACTTCTTCCATAAAGTATATATTTTCCAATCCTCCTTTTCAATAGTTTAACAAATAGTCTCGTTAATTCTATCACTAAGAAAATACTACATTCTTTCCAGTTTTTCAAAGAAGAGGCATTAAAAATAAGTGCAAGGATGATATAAACACTTGGTAGGAATGAAAAATTGATACTATCATCCAGAAATACTTACATTCCCATATGGAGATTCATCTGATTAATCAAGTATTATTTGATTATGATGATATTGGTGGTGGTAAGGATGATGATGATGATGATGATGATGATGATGATGATGAAGATGATGGTGATGATAATTCTAATAAAACCCAGCCTACATTTTTTTCTTACTCATAGTAGGAGGTGTGAACCTGAAGGAAGCATAGTGGGTTTTCCCAGTATACATAGCATTATTGCTATGTTTTCCATTTATCTCGGTTCTGTGAAAAAACACCATGAAATCTGGTAAAAATTCAATGAAGAGTCCTACACTTTGTTGTAAGAGCCTCTCCTATCTCTATCCTGTCTTAGACCCTCTGTCATTTGATGGCTAGTTCACTTACTGGTAATAATTTGATATTTTGAGGTATCAATTGATTTGACAATTAGCAAATTATGTAGAGAATGCAAGTACAAAAGAATTTTTCACTTACTTTAATTATGCAAACTCTATTTCTCATACACACATAAATGCAAAGATGTCACATTAATTAAATATTGGTAGGTAGTCAATTTTTAAGTAGGCTCCACAGTAAAACATAGCAGTAAAAAGGGATTTTTGATGTTTCAAGGAAATTCCTGAATTGTAGCCCTCATACTCTGCTTCTAGTTTCTGAAAAATAATAGCAGTCCCAAGTTGGCTGAGAACTATCTCTCTTTTATATCTTATATAAAATGAGCATGCCCCTGCCAAATTAATCCAATCACTTCCATCATATAAAAGGCATTACACCCAATAATACCTTTAAATGTCTTCCAGAATAATTTGAAAGCAAAAATATCACCCTTATATATGAAATGTAAGAGCGGGCAACTCATCACACTACCTTAATATCACATTGGCTGTGAAAATGCGTGTCGAAATGTATAGAGTGGAGCTGTACATCATAAAACTTGCTTTTGTGAAAATTCACCACCCTCCCACTATAATTAAGCTTTTTAAATGAACAAAAGAAATCTAACTCTCTTCTATAAAATTAAAATAATATGATTCAGGACACAGAAAAATAGATAACAATTACACGACACGATTTCTTTTAAACAGTTTTCATGTGGAAAATATCAGCATGCAAAGTCGTTTCACCTACCTGAAGTGGTTTGTCTCTAAGAAAAATGCAAACAAGGCTGTCAAAATGTTCACTAGCTGCCGGTTCATTCCTGTATCTGTGATGCTTGTGGAAAATATCCCGAAATGATTCCAGAAAGACTCTAGGACAAAGTATCTATTTATTGTCCAGATTCAAAATCTGGCAGGAATCTAGTTTCCTTGAAAATCAAAAACAGATTTGGGTTTGTACAGTGTGCTGAGAAAAAACAAAAAGTGCCAGTCCTGGGCATCATGGTCAGGTCAAATCGAGGCTCAAGACCATCAGTTAACCCAGGAAAGACAAAGCCTCGGAACTGATGAATCCCCCAGCTGCTTTTCCTGAATAATAAAAATACTGCTACCTTAATCGCATCACCATGCAAAGGGGGCTGGTGACAATGCCATGCTGGAAGTCGGGTTGCTGTGGCTTTTGTTTTATATCCTTCCTGTTTAACAAAGCTCCTTTCCTTAGAAAATGTTATCTTTTTAAGAGAAGTTGTAAATGAGAAAGAAGAAAGGACTCTACGTGCTGGAGTGGGTGGGGGAAAGAGGGAAAAATTGCTGAGATCCTGTGCTGGAATGAGGGCTATAGAAAGAGACGGAGACGTGATCTTACCCAGCCTATAAATTTCAGCACTCGGACAGCTCCTAGCTCTGAAGTGCGCATGTTTCCTTTTTCAGTCGCTTGGGGCGGGGGTCGGGGAGAGGCATTCAAGAGGGGACATGCCTGCTGCTCAAAGGCAAAGAGTGACTGGCCGTTCAGCGAGGGGGTCCTGAAGGGGATACGATGACAACAAGGGGAGAGCAGAGGTCAGAGGAGAGGAGAGGGGGAGGGAGATGGGATCTGAGCTCCTAGAAATGCTAGCCTGTCGGTGGGTGGGCGGGACGGGAGTTTGAAGCAGAAAAGAGAAGGGAATAAGGTTTAGTAGTGGGAAAAGGAAATCGGGGGAAACAAGAGAACAGGATTCAGAGTTTTGAAATTATAATAGGGGTGTGGATAGTCCACTCCCTGTCAGGGGAAGCCAGACGCAACAGAAGAGTCCTGTGCTGAAGAGAAGGGGACATTTTCTTGGCATGGATAAGCCCGTGTGAAGAAAAATGTTCATAATGATCAATAATTAAGTTTAGAAGCCCTTTATGCTTTCTTCTTCTCTTGAGAGTTTTTGTTTTCTTTAGCCGCCTGTTCCCAAAAGATCTCTTTACTTCTCTACTAGGGAAAGCTTCTTCCACTGAGCTTTCTAAAGTGGCCCAAAATCCTTGGGCATCAAGTCACAGATTTGTAAGAGAAAAAAAAAAGATAATGGACCGGCAGGGGGCAGTAGCAATCTTTTCCTGCCCTGGTTAAAGGTTAGAACAGGGCTCCATGTTAGAAGTGGAGTAAGGAAAAGTGAGACTGGGAGTTTAGTTCATCGGCCCATTCCAGATATTAATCACCAGGAAGGGTCATGTAATAAAGTGTGTGTTCTTCTTCTAAACTGCCAAAAGAGATTGAAAATAGTGAGAGTTTATAAATCCAGTACAAAAACATAACAGGTAACCCTGCTATCTCAGATTAAGTTTACAAATATTTTTCTTAATTAAAAAGAGGAAGAGTAGAATAGTTCAGTGCAGGCAGTTAGCAGCTTCTGATGAGGGAGGATGAAAAATGCACGTCCTACCATAAGCTGGGTGATTAACCTACTTTTTGTTTGTGAAATAGCTCTTGTTAGTTACCTTGGCACCCCACTGCAATTCTTAATTTTAAAACAATATAATATGTTTAGTTTTTAGTTCCCAAATGACTGAAATATCATAGCAGAGTAACAAAAAAATTTTGTTTTTTAAGTAGATTCTGCCGAGTGTGGTGGCTCACGCCTGTAATCCCACCACTTTGGGAGGCGGAGGCGAGAGAATTGCCTGAGTCCAGAGGTTTGAGACCAGCCTGGGCAACTTGGTGAGACCTCATCTCTAGAATAAAAAATAAATAAATAAATAAAAAACAAATTAGCTGGGCGTGGTGGTGTGTGCCTGTGTTTCCAGCTACTTGGAAGGCTGAGGCATAAGGATTACCTGAGCCCAGCAGGTCGAGGCTGTGGTGGCCGTGAGTGTGCCACCACACTCCAACCTGGGTGACAGAGTGAGACTCCAACTCAAAAAGATAAAAGTAGATTTTAAGAAAAAAATGCAAGTTTTTTCTTAATCTTTTGATATTAATATTATTCACTTAAGGATTGTAAAGTTCTCGAGTGGTGCCTGAGATTCTGCATTTCTTTCTTTCTTTCCTTTTCTTAAAAATTTTTTTCTTTTCGTTTTTTTTAGACAGGGTCTAACTCTGTCGCCTAGATTGAAGTGCAGTGGCACTACTACGACTCATCACAGCCTCAAACTCCTGGGCTGAAGTGATCCTTTTGCCTCGGCCTCGTGAGTAGTTGGGATTACAGAAGGACACCACCTCACACAGCTAATTTTTCTATTTCTTGTAGAGATGAGGTCTCACTTTATTGCCCAAGCTGGTCTCAAACTCCTGGCCTCAAGTGATTCTCCAACCTCGGCCTCCCAACTTACTGGAATTACAGGTGTGGCCACTGTGTCAGCTTTCTGCATTTCTAACAAGTTCTTAGCTTAAGCCAATGCTGCTAGTTCACAGATCACACTTTTGGTAGCAAGAGTCTATATGCACATTCATCAGATTTATATCCCACTAAGACAGTGAGAATATCGAAACCCCTTTTAGATGAAATGCAGCAGTGCCAAAGCATTCTGCTTACATACAAAATCAATTATCTAGATGTGTTTTCTTAGCTTTCAAAGCTTATGAAAAGTGATTCAATTTAAAAGAAAAACACCATGGTGTTGTGTGAGACATCCCTGACCTGCAGCTTCAAGTATGTTCACTTCCCAATTCATCCACATGGAAACTCTAGGCCTGATTTTATCATTGTAGCTCTGACCCCCCAAAATAAAATCAATTCCTGGAAATATTTCTTCAATTGGCTGTATATGGAAAAATAGTACAAGATTTTTGCAATCAAGAGTCTTTTCAGAAGAAAATATAGATATAAAAGTGGAAGAAAATGACTTGTTTTAATTTGTTTAAGGTTGTCATGATGCTTAAAAATATAATTTTTGTAAATAATTTATTTTAAGAACAGAGTGGTGTTATCAATCTTGAGTACGGTGAGTAGGGAAATCTGTGACAAAGGGAGACTCTGGCTAGCAGCATGAAATCACTGTATCATATTATTTTAGAGTTGGAAAGGACTTTAAAGAAGATCTAGTTTATCCTCCTCATTTTACTTCTCATTGCTCTTGAACTTGGATTCCTACTCTATCTGAGTCCATAGAAACAACTTTCACTTGTCTGCCAATGAATTTCTTGTAACTAAGGCCAAAGGACATTTTTCTGTTCTCATCTTATTTGACATTTCCCTGGCACTTCATGTCATTGGCTTTTTCTTCCTTCTGGAAGCACTTTCCTCTCTTGACTCTGTGACCCAGTGCACTCCTGGTTTGCCTACTATTTTGTCTCCTTGGCAGGCATGGCTTCCTCTACCTGGCCTATAAACATTGGAATTCCTGAAGGATATATTCCAGGTCCTCTCTTATTCTTACACCACAGTCTCCTACACAATATTAAGATACTATAACTTCCATTATCCTTTTATGGAGATGGCATGCAAATGTTTATTTCTATCCAGATCTATACATCCAAATGCTTTCTTTTTTATTTTTATTTTTTACATTTTAGATTCAGGGATACATGTGCAGGCATGTTACATGGGTATGATGCATAATGGTCAGGTTTAGGTGTCTATTGAGTCTGTCATCTAAACAGTGAACATTGTCCCCAATAGGTAGTTTTTCAACCCTTGCCCAATCCCTTCCACCCCTCTCCAATTGCTTTCTAAACAATTCCTAATGGATATCTCAAAAGCTTCTCAAATTCTTCATGGTAAAACCAAACTTTTGATAATCCCTCCAAATTCTGCTCCTATTCTACTGTGCCTATTCATTGCCACTAATTAAAGGCCAAGGCAACATCTCTAAGAACCCCTCTTCATCATTCACTCTATTCAGTTTTTCACCAAACACTATGCATTTTTTCTCCCAAATATTTCCCAAATATTTGTGCTTCTCTTTATCTCAAACTCCATGACTCCAGTTGAGATATTCTGTCTCTTGCCTATTCTGTTGCAACTGTCTTCTTACTTGTCTACCTGGACCAACAACTGGTTCTCTGCCACCTCATTCTGTATACTAGCCAGGATGATTGTTCAAAATCAAAATCTGATTATGTCACAGCCCCTGGCCAACACTATGGCTGTCTATTGATCTTTGGGTAGAACAAGGAAACTGCTTAACACCACCTAAAATTTCCACATGGTCTATCCCATACTTACATTGTCCTTCATCTCATCTCTTACTCATCTCATTCCTTCCTTTGGCATTATTGATCTCTTTTTTAGTCCCTTGTGCTTGCTGTATTGCTCAATTCCATGGAGTGCTCATGTCCTCCCCATCATTGTCTGGTTAATACCAGCTCATTTTTAAAATATCTGCTCAAGTATTATTTCCTCGGGAAGGTTTTTATTGACCTTTATGATTCTATCAATAACAATACTATGTAACTCTGATTCAAGGAGCCCATCATCATTGGATGTATACATGTGTGTGATTATTTGCTCAGATAATAAGCTTTGCGATAGACAGGGACAGTACATATTTGGTCTACTGTTTTCTCCCCATACATTCAGTGATAATGACAATAATCATAATGGTATTGATGGTAACTACGATACCATTTTATTTATTTATTTATTTTTATTTATTTATTTATTTTTTTTGAGTTGGAGTCTCACTGTCTCCCAGACTGGAGTGCAGTGGCCGCTCCTGGCCACCGCAGCCTCAACCTGCTGGGCTCCAGTGATCCTTCCACCTCAGCCTTCCAAGTAGCTGGAACTACAGGTGCGCGCTACCACATCCAGCTAATTTTTTGATTTATTGTAGAGATGAGGTCTCGCCAAGTTGCCCAGGTGGGTCTCGAACCCGCGGGCTCAGGCAATCCACTCACCTCAGCCTCCTAAAGCGCGGGATTACAGGCTGAGCCACCGAGCCTGGCTTAGGATACCATTTTAAATATGCACTCAGAAGTGTTGCTTAAACAAAATAATATACATAAATGTGTATAATTTACAAATAGTCCTGTCAAAAAATTCCCTGTTAGAGAGTTAACCATTTAAGAGCTGTGATTATTTGAAAGGAAACCAAGTTCAGTGGTTCAGCAGTTCACAGCATTAGGTGAAAATCAGAGACTGAATTTAATGTCCCTGATTCAAGTTCTACCTCTAAGAACCCATTGGTTATGTGACTTTTGACAAGTCACTTAATCCCCGTATCCCTCATTTTCATATGTAAAATAAATATAACAAAATATTACATAATTACAAATATACATGTTACATAAAATATTTCTATGCAGAATACTCTTGAAATTCACATAAAATTATAGCTGATGATGTGTTTTTAGGCTTTTAATCTCATTTCTTAGCATTTGCTTACTCTTAAAATTCATGTTTTAACTTTGTTCCTTGGGCAATTCCACTTTCAAAGACAGTAATTCTCAGGAGTTTTGAAAAGGTCTTAGTTGCAATGCAATGGAACCTGAAGTTTAATTCTCCTATGCTTCCAACTCACCAAATTACAACCAGTTGAGGCACGTGGCACCCTCATTTTAATACTCTTTTAATCAGAGAAATGAAAGTTTACCCATCCTATGATGTCATAAGGAACTGTTGTTTGGTCTATATTATGCT